AGCAGGGAGCCCGATGCGGGGCTCGATCCCAGGACCCTGGGATCATGACCTGAGCCGAAGGCAGACGCTTAACGACTGAGCCACCCAGGCGCCCCTGGAGAATAATTTCTTAAACAAGACATAAAAAGCATAAATCAAAAAGGGAAAGCTTGATAAATCTGACATAAAAATTAAGAACTTCTGTTCATCAGAAAACAAAACTAAGACTGAAAAGACAAACTAGAAAAAGCAAGATACTTGCAAAACCTATAGCCATCAAAGAGCTTATGTCTATAATATGCTAAAAATTCCAGTCAATCAGTAAGAGGAAGACTTGAAAAGACACTTAAAGAAGCCTAAGGACTAATAAAAAGGTATTCAATGTCATCAATAATGATGTTAAAATAGATAATACTATGCATGTAACAAGCTAGCTAAAATGCAGAAGTAGGACAATAACCAGATACTGGAGAAGGTTGGGATAACAAGAACTCTCATTCACTCCTGACGAGAATATGGATAACCACTCTGGAATACGTTGTATGTTAAAGCTGAAGACTACTAAAACTCCACATTTCCACTGCTAGATATATATTCTACAGAAATGTGTTTATGTGTACCAGGAATCATGTATAAAAATGCAAATGGCAGCATTTTTATAATATACAAAGATTGAAACCAATTCAACTATCAACAGTACATTGGCTATATTATGTACTGTCCTACAATATACATTAACAATATACAATATACATTAACCTGAAGCAACTCTATAAATTAAAACAAGCTAGAGCTACACAACAGGAATGAATCTTAAAAAGAACTGTCAAACAAAAGCCCAACACCCGTAAAAATGCACAATTCATTTACAAAACATTCAAAACTGGGGAAAACAAAATACTTATTTAGGGATGTAGACATGGGTAGTAAAATTAAAAACACATAGGAATAACTGCCACAAACCACTAGACAATAGCTACCACCAAGTGAAAGGACCAGAGATGGATCCAGAAGAGGGTCACAAGGGGCTCCTGAGGTGCAAATTTGAAAATGATCTCTTCTCTAACCTGGGTGGTGGTCATATGCATGCTCGTGTTCACCTTCATATTTTTTTTTTGTATTTTTTTTATTCTTATGTTAATCCCCATACATTACATCATTAATTTTAGATGAAGTGTTCCATGATTCATTGTTTGTGCATA